CGTACCCCCGAGATTTTGCATTAGTTTCTGTTTGAATTTGCATTTAAATAGGTTGATAATTTGTTTATGGTTGCAGTTGAGATGGGAAAATGGTGGAGGACATATCTACATAAATGGAACTCAATATACACTCAACCAATGCCATTGGCACTCACCTTCTGAACACACCATCAATGGCCGGAGGTGCTTCTCTTTTTCTATTGTGTGTGTGTGTAGAATGTGTGTATTACACTACGTATTCATGATAATAACAATATTAAAATCTACGCTACAGCTATGATTTAGAAGTTCACTTAGTTCATCAGAGCGCGAACGGTAGGACTGCTGTGTTTGGAATTATGTATAAGATTGGACGGCCTGATTCCTTTTTGTCGATGGTAATCCCACAAACTACTCTCTCTCTCTCTCTCTTGCCCTCGTGCACACACACAAACACATATTTCTGTATATCTAGTCCAGGCAATTCTATAGACATCCACCATTTCAGCACGAATTGAAACAAGGCTAGTGGGTTTGAATTTACCTTTAATGAATTTGAGTGATANTCTCTCTCTCTCTCTCTTGCCCTCGCGCACACACACAAACACATATTTCTGTATATCTAGTCCAGGCAATTCTATAGACATCCACCATTTCAGCACGAATTGAAACAAGGCTAGTGGGTTTGAATTTACCTTTAATGAATTTGAGTGATAAGTGGATGAACGTGTCCCACTGATCGAGTTTTGGGTCAACTTGCTTGCAATATAACACAATACAGATCATAACGTATATACAATATAAATTCAATTATGTATAATTATAAATATATCGAGTATAATTTTAAAAAATATTATAAAAATAAGATTTATGAGATTTAACAAGAAGACACGACATAAGACAAATGACGTGATGTTTATGTGTGTCCTCAGATGGGGAAAGATTTAAAAGCCCTTGCTGATATCAGAGGATTAGAGAGGGTGGTGGGTACAATTGACCCGAGGCAAATAAAGTTGGGGAGCAGAAAGTATTACAGGTACATTGGATCCCTTACAACTCCTCCCTGCACTCAAAACATTGCCTGGACCATGCTGAGAAAGGTGAGCTCTACTAAGCCTACATTAATTATTATCAAGTAATAAAATTATGATTTTACAAGAGAAGTACGGTTTGCTAATGGCTCCTTGTGGGATTTATCAGGTCAGAACTGCTAGCAGACAACAAGTAAAACTAATTCGTCAAGCTGTTCACGACGTAAGTTACTAATATTATTATTCTCCTTATCAACGAATAAATTATTTGAATTTGCGACCTTAGGGTCCAACAATTGGGACACACCACTAACCTTGATTTTGAAAATAATTGAACTTTGACAACCATAAGCCCCAATTTTGCAATAGATCAATAGAGTTGATCGATAATAGTTATGGATTAACACTATGTCAATAGAGTTGATCGATAATAGTTATGGATTAACACTATGTGGTTATATACAGTAACATGTTGTTTTCCTATATTTTAAATGTTATACAAATGCCTTGTGATTTTGGAGAAACTCAAACTTTTATAGAGAATTATAAAAGCAAACGTCGAAATTCTATATTGAATAATTACTTTTTACATATTACCTCTTTTTTAATTTTCTCCTCTAAAATAAATCAATCTCTTTCATTATCTTCCCTTTGTATAAATTATTTGAATTTTCAAAAAAAAAAAAGATGAAGAAGATGAAACAATGAAAAACTTGAAAAAATAAAGAGAAGGGTACTATTGCTTTTCTACGTAAATTGTTTATCTCTTTGGTTATTACACTATGGATCAAAATAACTAGGGTTATGCATAGGTTTCTAACGGATAAGGATGCTAAGTGTCTACTTTTTTTTCACGTGATGCATTATTATAGTGAGGGGATAATTAGATTCGAACTCACAATCTTAAAATCCAATAACGGACTTTTAAGTGTCCCTACCTCAAAACACATGAACCTAAAGTATAATTTATTTGTTATACATTAATTATGATGTTGTTTACCCACCATCTAATCATGTTTAGATGATGATCATTATTTTTTTACAGGACTCAGAAACTAATGCAAGACCTATACAACCAATAAACCAGCGTTGGGTAAAGCTCTACAGACCAACAGATCGTCAAGAAGATTAAAATTTACATTTTTTAATTATTATTGATTTTTACTACTACAGATTAATGATTATCATAGTATTAGAGATTTCATTGTTACAGAGTACTACATAGATATCTGCTAGGAATGAGCTTGGGTTGGTCAGAGATGGCTTCTCACTTCCATCTTCTATGTTTTTGTAACTCCTGGCCTATGACTGCCCTTATTTTATTTGTTCTTGTTATTGTAATATTAATAGCTTTACAATAAGAACTTGTCGGCTTTTGTGCGGGCATTTATTTTCAGTTTAACTGATGCATGTTATTATTGACGGTTGTGTGCATGCGAGATTTCTTTTACAATTAACAAAAAAAAAAAAAAAAATTCACCCGGAGTGGAAGATGATTTGTTGTCCAAAAGGGCAACTCCCGGAGCTACCAAACCAATCATATCACATGGGGGTGGAGATTAATATATTAGGGTAAATTTCATTTACACTCCATGGCATTTGATTTAATTACATGAGGATCCCCTCACATTTTAGAAATTGTTCTGAAACCCAAATCTTTAAACGATATAAAATAACCTCTCTCGCTCCTACCATCGACAACACCCTTAGCCTTCCACCTCCACTCCCCCACCCAGCCCCCGCCACCTCCTCCCCCACCCCTCCTCCCCCATCTCCACCTCACAGTCGCCAACCCCATCTTGCAGGCACCTCTGCAAAATCTAATTGTGTATCTAAAAATCTCTTCGTCCACCAATCAGAAATCAAATTCAATGGTTTTGATCTCTCTCTCTCTCTCTCCTAAAATCGCTCTACAAAAAAGGTGATTGAGGAGGTTGGTGGGCAGTGGTGCAAGATGATTGGCTTAATTCATGATGTTTTAACTTAGAAACAAAATTGCCTTAATCAATGGTGTCTTAATTGGGGAAAAAAGAAAAGGTAATTAATGGGCTTAATTAGGGGTGTCATAATTTGGAAACAATAGATTATATATGAATTGTGTACTATGTGTGAGGTAAGCTCAATTAAACCAACCTATTATATTTAGAATGTTGATTAGTTTTAAATCGTAATCACTATGGGAATTCATTGGATATGAATTTGATCTAATGAATTGATTAGATTTAGTGAATTAATTTGAAATATCGGGTAATTGATCAAATTTTAATTTAATTATGGTAAAACATGCGCTTAAATATTGGAATAACTTTGATATGGTCTCTTTTAAAAATAAATTAGCATAATTAATGCACCAGATTTTTTAAAAATAAATTATTCTATTCCTAAATTTAGACTTATTATTATTTATATAATTAAGTCGATTAGATTAGTATAATAAACATAATTGAATTGTTGTGTCATTATTTGTCAAAATTATAAGTGAGGTGGGAGGGTAGACTATACATTTTGTTGAGTTAATAAAGTCTCTCACATTGTAGAATGATGTTTTGGGTATTATATTACATGTTTTTGATGATGTCAAATGTCAAGGGGTCTCAATAAAATTTTTAAAACATAAGGGGGTCCACATGTAGTTAAACTAAATGTAAGGAGCATTTAGTTAAAGACATTATAGCAATTCCGAAAAATGAATTTTTTAAAACTTATGTATTTTGAATTTAATTAATTTTTAATTGCTCCTAAGTAAATTGGGTTTGATTGGAATGTCAATTTCAAGCCGATGGTAATTTAATGGGATACTCAAAGACCTTACAGCAATTCTCGCCGTGTGGCCGCGTGTTGTTATTTTTGAATCATATTTGTGTTAAACCCAAATTTTTTTTTTAATTTAATGTATTATAAATGTTAAACACCAATTCAATTAAGGAGTTGCCTTCTATACCGAAAATGTGAAATTTGGTACGATACTAAAAATTTAAAAAGAATGTAGGGTTGACACATGTACCCACTTAAATTTGTCAAAACCTATAACCGATTTAACCGGTATATATTTTAAAAATAAATACAACCGCTACACACTTAAAAAAAAAGTGATAATAGAAATTAAAATTAGTTTTAAAAATTGATAATTATTTATCTTATTCAAACCTAAATAAAAATATAATAAAAAATTTATAATATCTAAGTTCACCACTATTTTAAGTGATAATAGACATTAAAATTATTTTTAAAAAATTATAATTATTTATCATATTTAAACCTGAAATAAAAATATAAGAAAAATTTTATAGTGACATTAAATTTTAAAAATATTGGAGGTTAGGATTAGGTTATTAAGTTCACAAGGCTAAATTACAATTAAAGTTTAGCACATTGCTATTATTAAAATGTTACATTATCACAATTTTTTTTGGGTAAAATTGCTATTTTTGTGGTTATATTTTGGGTTAAGGTAAAATTATTACAATAACAAAGTTATCAAATATGTTAAATTAAAATAGGTAAAATAATTTGGGGGAATATGATATTAATTAATAGTTGAGGGTGTAATATGAAAAATACGAGGCAAAAATTGAAAAAAAAAAAGTAAAAATTCTAATGTGTAGTGATCCAAGTTTGATCGCTCAATATGGCAATCAAACTTTTTCTTCTATTCCCCAAGCAAACAAAAGGAAATCGAAAAAGCCAACTCCTCAAACCCTAAATCAGTCATCTAACCCCAAATTTAACCCTAAATCAGCAATCTAACCCCAAATCTAAGTCCAAATCGTGAAAACTCATCCTGATTGCATACCCAAAACCCTAAATCAGGTGAGGGCTTCAAAGTTTGGTGCCATAATCGTCTCGAAATAGCCTGCATCGTGCTTCTCCGTCAGAGAAGGGAGAGAAAGGTGCCTCCGACTTGGGGTGTCATGGTTGTCTAACTTGCGTGTGGGGTGTATACTGTATGGTGATTGTCACAAGAATTCGGCTCATCTATGGTAGTTTTTTTTTCTTTTTTTTTTTTGGTTTAATTAGTAAAAAAACAAGTTTATTTCGTCATATTGTTTTATACATAGTTGTCTCTGTCTCTCTCAATTTCATAAAATTTTTTGTATAAATAGTTGCATAAGGGATGTGTTTTTGGGTTGAACAAATTATGGTTTTTGTGAGTGATGGTTCAAGAAATCCTATCTTCCTCACATCTTCAATTGTCATTGCTCAAAATAATAGATAATTTTTCATGTTATTGCTTTTTTGACTAGATTTTTTTTTGTTAGAGTAGAATGACCGGTAGAAAGAAATATAGGCCAAAAGTTGTGGATACCAGTGAAAAAATGAAGAGGAAGAAAAGCTGTAATGATCCTCCCTCCTCCTCCTCGAAGAAGAAATGTAATCATCCTTCCTCCATTTATCCCATTGTTGATTCCACCTCCACCAATCCCACCTCCTTCAATCCAGTTGATCCCACTGTTAATCATCCACCAAGTTCATCCAACCCCATATGTAATAAGGAAACATCTTTCTTCAACAAACATTGCAAACAGTCGTATGAGAACTACATTAATTATAGGCCTTTGTTTTTGGAAAGGGGTGTTTTACTAGATCAATTAAAAGATGTAGGATGTGATCTTATTTTTTCTCTTCATCAATAGAATTCTGCAGTAGATATTAAGAAGACTGATAAATCATATAATACATTGGTGAAGATATTTTATTCTAATATGCATGATATTGATAGAGATGATCACAAATTTAAGTCCCTTGTGAGGAACGTAAGTTTTGAAGTAACTCCAGAGTTAGTTTCAAAAATATTGGGAGTTCGCCGACCCTTCATTCCTAACAATACCCTTACCTATCCATTCAAGAATTTTAAGAACATAACTAAGCTAAAAGATGTTCATGCAGAATTTGAGGGTATACCTAATAAATTTAGTGAGAGTATTGACAATCCAAAATTTTTTCAACAAGACCTTACTCCCAAATATAGGATGTTAAATCTTATAGTTGGGTACAATATTATACCAAAAGGACATACTGCTAATTTTGGAGTTGATCAAACTCATCTCTTGTATGCCATTGGAAAGGGTATATGTATAGATTTACCTTATTTAATAGTTGATGAAATTATATCAGTACAAGGTATAAAGGATAGGTGACGATGTCTCCCATTCCCAATTTTGATTTCAAAGATTATGGAGGATTGTGGAGTTGTGATTCACTCAAGAGACACTTATTTCACTCCCATGAATCCAATTTATGGTGGGACAATAAAGAAAAGTTTGGGACAAGGGAAGAAGAATAAAACTCAGCAATCGCCGCCACAAGTCGAGAATGAAGTTGAAGCTAAGGATGATGAAGCCCAAACCCAGGATGTCCCAAATTCTTCCACAGCTGGTCTTCCTCTTGATGCATTGCAGGTATATGGAATGTTGTTGGTACGATTGAGCAGAAAGAGGGAGGAATCTAAAAATTCTCAAAATGAAATAAAGGAGTCTCTGATGGATTGTAGGTTGGATAGAATTGAGTCTTTTTTTTATGAAAAGCAAAGAAATAGCTAGGAAGTGACAATTGTATGTAATTGTAGTTATTGGTTTTTGATACAATAGTTGAAGTAGCAGTAGTGACGATTGTAGGTAATTGTAGTTGAACTAGCAGTAGTGTTTTTGTCAAAAATCTAAAATATCTTTATTCTTTATACATAAAATGAGCATGATAATGGTTGTGATAAGCATGGTTGTGGTAATTTAGCAGTAAGATTACTGAGTAGTTGAAAATTAGAATGGATTGGTATGCTGGGATGAAGATGGCATAATGGAGCTAGTGCTTTACTGCAGTCTGTTCTATGTACTGGTGCAGTTTACTAAGCAGCTAAACTAGGCTGGTTTGCTTGGATTGAGTTGGTAGGTTGTTACCCAGCAGCTTCAGGAATGCTGCATTTGTGCAGAAAACCTCTTTTGCTTTGTTGTTCTGTTTTTTGTTATAAAATAGAAATTCTATTTGTAACAGTTTTCTGGTTTTTTGTTAAAACAGATTCTGTTTTTTTCGGTTAAACAGTTTCTGTTTTTTTATTCTTGTGATTTTGAGATTTATGCAACAAAATTTGAGATTTAAAAAAAAAAAGAAAAAAAAATTCCTTGATCCCACTATTGATCTACTGCACCTATCGGTCTGAAGCTCTTGATAGCTACTCTTGCTCACCTAATCCCACTCTTGATTCGCTACTCTTGATCGCAAAGCTTACTTGATCCCACTCTTGATCGATCAAGGATCGCTAACCTCACTTGATTCCACTGTTGACCACTAACTTGGTCGGATCCCACTTGATTGATGGCAAACCTGCACTTGATCCATGATCGCTACTTGATCCCAATCTTGATCGCTACCCCGATCTTGATCGCAAATAGATCGCTAAATGTGGTCCAAAAAAGTGATAATATTAACCAAAAAATGATAATATTAACTAAAAAATGGTAATATTAACCAAAAAAATGGTACTTACCTCAAAAGTGTAATCTTAATCAAAAAAAGTGGTAATTTTTAATCAAAAGTTTGATAATGTTAATCAAAACAATAGTACTCTTAACCAAAAAAGTGATTTTAACTAAAAGAGTGGTAATGTTAAACTAATAAATAATAATGTTATCCAAAAAACTGGTTAGATTACTGAAAAAAATTGTATTCTTAACCAACAAAATGGTACTCTTACTTCAACAGTGGTAATCTTAATCAAAAAAATTGTAATGTTAACCAAAAAAGTGTAATCTTAACCAAAAGTAATGTTAACTTAATCAATGGTAATGTTAAACAAAAAATAACCAATAAAATGGTACTCTTACCTCAACATATAATCTTCACCAAAATAGTGGTACTCTTAACCAAAATAGTGGTAATATTAACAAAAAAAAGTGGCAATATTATCCAAAACAGTGGTACTTTTAACTAAAACAGTGTTAATGTCTATCAAAATAATGATAATATTAACCAAAATAGTGGTAATCTTAACCAAAAAAGTAATAATATTATCTAAAACAGAGGTACTCTTAAACAAGATAGTAGTAGTTGCCTCAAATAACGGGTATTTTTACCAAAAAAGTGGTATTGTTACAAAATAAAAGTGATAATATTACACGCAAAAAGTTGTATTCTTATACCCAAAAAAGTTGTATTCTAAGCCCAAGAAATTTGTATTTTAACCCAAAAATGGTAATGTTAACCTAAAAAGTGGTAATCTTACCCTAAAAAGTAATAATCTTACCTCAAATATTGGGTAATCTTACCAAAAAAGTGGTATGTTACACTAAAAAAGTCGTATTTTTACACCCAAAAAAGTTGTATTCTAAGTCCAAGAAAGTAGTATTCTAACCCAAAAAATGGTAATGTTAACATAAAAGTGGTAATCTAACCTAAAAAATAGTAATTTTACCCTAAAAAGTAATAATCTTGTCTCAAATAAATGGTAACCTTATTAAAAAAAGTGGTATTTTTACAAAATAAAGGTGATAATGTTATACCTAAAAAGTTTTACTCTTACACCCAAAAAATTTGTATTCTAAGCCAAATCAAGTTGTATTCTAACCCAAAAACAAAATGGTAATGTTAACGAAAAAAAAATGATAATCTTGCCTCAAATAATGGGTAATCTAACCTCAAATAATTGGTAATCTTACCAAAAAAGTGGTATTATTACCAAATAAAAGTGAAAATATTACACCCAAAAAAGTTGTATTCTAACCGAAAAAGTTGTAATGGAAACCAAAAAAAATGATACGTTTATCTCAACACAGTCATCTTTCCCTCAAAAAGTGGTAATCTTCTCAAAAAAATGGTAATCTAACCCAAAAAACGTGATAATATTGTCTTAAAAGATTGTTTATTCTTTATATATAAAATGAGTTTGGTTCTTGTGGAAATGTAGCATTCCTATAGGGAAAGAAATGTAGTTGCCGACTCTTTGGCCAACCAAGGAGTCTGTGACAATGCTTCTCATACTCATACTTCCCCTTTCAATCTCAATCTACGTACGAGACAACTTTTACTTCAAGATCAATGACAAATTAAATCCTTGCGGTCTAAGATTAAAGTTCTCCATAGATTCAACGTCAAATTAAATCTAACAACGTCAAAAAATTACTAAACCAATAAATGTTAGACAGTAAAAGTATTTTTACAACAAAGGTCATTCGCTTTAAGTAATCCAAAAATGTCTTTGTTGCATAAACTATCATGAATAAAACTTTTCATTGTATGGAAAACATATCATGGAACACCAAATTGTTACCAGCACATTAACTTAACCCTCACAGACATATTGATTGGTTGTTTTAATGAAGAAGATACTACTATCACAGCGACAATGAAAAAGAATGCAAGCATGCATAATGTATAAGTTTCATTTAATACATAAGTTGAATGGTCAAAAGGAATGAGAATGTTATTGGTGTGTCACCACAATTTAGCATGATTTGACAAAATATCATCCAATAAGAAAAGACCAGATAGAAATTTGTAATTAAAGTTAATCCAATGTCAGGGGAGGCAAAAGTACAAAGCTTAGAACAATCAGAGCAAGGAAGTGTCCCTTCTCTAGTAGGCAGCTGATGAGAACATAATATTGCATATTTGAAGGCCTCATTACATACATTTTAACTCAACTTTTGCATTTAAGTGCTTAGAGTTAGTCAAAGTTGTCAATAATGTTGAATTTTCAATGTTGCAGGTAATTATAGCATAAATGATGGATTTTAGAACCTTGCAACTATGTGTAGATGTGTAGTGAAGAGATGGACACATTACGTGAGAATTTGGAGGCTTAGAAGTGAAAGAAATCAAGGAGGTATTGGTGTTTGGTAACATAGGCATCAGCACCCACACCATTTTGTAGTAGTACCTCAGTTTTCCTCCTTTTTTACCATAATTCGCTTCGAATCTGCAAAAGTGCAAAACATGAAAGTTGTAGATCTGGATGTCTTCTATATTGTGTTAAAATATATTGAAGAGGATTTTAAATCATCTTGACACCCAACAAAATCAGAATTTGGGAAATCAATCACCTCAAAACTATCAACTCTCCTATAAACAATCATGTAATTTTTTTTTCTTTGCAAGTATCTTATAACTTTCTTAGCTGTCACTCAATGTTCTAATCCTGATTTAGAAAGATATCTGCCAAGAACACTAACTGCAAAGCAATGTCAGGTCTGGTACAAACCTGTACATACATTAAACTTTCAACAACACTCGCATAAAATATATTCTTCATAGACTCCTTCTCAAGATCATTCTTGGGGCATTGACTTAGACTAAATTTATCACATTTCACAACAGGTACATCTTCAAACTTACAATTATGCATATTAAATCTTTCAAACACACGATCTATATATGCCCTTTGAGAAAGTCCCAACAACCCACGACTCCTATCTTGATGAATCTGAATCCCTAGCACAAAAAATGTTTTTCCTAGATCTCTCATGTCAAATATTTTGCACAATAATTGCTTAATCTCATGAAGTAAGCTCAAATCATTACTTACAAGCAAAATATCATCAACATAAAGAACAAGAAAAATAAATTTGCTCCCACTAACCTTAAGATATATGCATTGATCCATCTTGTTTCTCAACAAAACCAAAAAAATTTACTATCTCATCAAATTTCAAGTCTCATTAACGAGAAGCTTATTTGAGACCATAGACAAACTTTTTCAACTTGCAAACTAAATGTTCTTCCCATTCTCCTTAAAACCCTCAGGCTATATCATATTAACTTCTTTACTAAGCTCACAATTTAGGAAAACTGTCTTTACATCCATCCGGTGAAATTTTAGATCAAAATGAGCCACTAATGCTATAATGATCCTGAAAGAATCTTTATTAGAGACAGGTAATAAAGTTTCATTAAAATTTATACCTTCCCTCTGGTTATACACTTTTGCTACCAATTTAGCCTTAAGTCTTTCAATCTTACCTTTGGAGTCCATCTTAGTTTTAAACACCCATTTGCAGCCAATGAGTTTACATCCCTCAAGAAGTTCTGCAAGCTCCTACACTTCATTGTGTGCCATATAATGCATCTCATCTTTCATAGCACATACCCACATATCAGATTGAGGACAAGTAATAGCATCATAGTATGTTACAGGATCAACAATATCACCAATATCATAATCACTTTCTCCAAGGTATACATAATATTCATCAGAAATAACATATCTCCTTGGTCTTATAGACCTTCTCAAAAAAATTTCAGTAGTAGGTTATAAAGGCTGAGGAGTCTTATTAGGAACATAAGGGTCAATTGCAGTAATAGAAGGATCAACAACTGGAGCAGAAAAATTAACAATATGAGCAGGTATAATATTGTCTTGTACAACAAGTAAAGAAATAAAAATAAATTTATCTTCCTCATGCTCACTAATAGACTACGAGCAACCAATATCAACAACATTAAGCTATATAAATTTTGTTGTTAAGAACTCAACAATTTTAATACCACGTGTAGGACAATAGAAACGGTATC